ATATACACATATATAAAGAGATATATCGATATATAAAATATAAATAATTCTTTACAATAGAAAGGGAGAAATGAATAAAAAATTAGATTTCCATTTTTGATCAAGTTTGAATCTCGAGTTTTAGTTAGGTTATGGTCGGTTTATCACCTTTTGTGATAATTAGAAATTTTCCATTATCGATATTAATACAAATAATATAAGCAATGGAAATAGTGATATAGTCGATTTTATTAAAATTGAAGTTTTATCAGAATTATCAGATTGCTAATTGTATGAAAAAAGTATTGTAAAATTTTCTAATCCATTAGAAGTTTTAATATAAAGTTCCCTACATTTATATAATCATTAAAAACTCTTTTATCCTTTGAAGATTTCAGTTGATTAAAAACATTAACGAATTATCATAATTGGAATAATAAAAAATATAATAATTATTAATTGCCGCTTCGGCAGATGATTTTATGTTTACTACTACATATTTCCATTTCCGTTTCTATCCTAAACTGCTGATAATTAATTTTAAAATAAAACAAATTGTGACAAAAAAAGTCGCTAATATGTTTAGATGTAATTATACAAAAACATACAATAAATACTAAGATCTAAAATTTCTTTTTTTTATCTGGAAAAAAGAATTTTGACTCTTTTTTTTTTTTATTTAGGAAATTATTAGAAAACTATATATACGAAAATTTTACGTGATATTTGCTTTGAAATCCTCTAATAATAATAAGGCTCAAATGAGGTATTTTTATGCGACAATTAAAGTTACATCGAATTTCAATTTTACGAAAAATTATACGTTTCCTCGGCATAAAAACATATGGAAGCAGTAATACTTGAGCTAAATACCAAACCAATCATAGTCGCACTTCCTATTAATGAGTGTTTGAAACAATTTCCAAAATATCGTTAAAATTTTCCCAAGGATCACCACGGGGACAACCTTTTTTTATTATAGTGGTTGTAATTAAAGTTAGGTTTCAAAAATTTAAATGAATGTCGAAATATAGAAATAACTTATTTTTATATTTTTATGTTAGTTACAAATTAATATTCGAATATAATTAGAATTTATCCTTCGATGTTCAACAACCACGGGGTAGAGATCGACGTTAATTACTGACAAGTGTATTACTTTAAGTCACAATAGTAACGTTAATTCGATTGTAGTTATTCACATAATGAATAGATTTTTTTATATTTGTTACGATTCTTTTACTTATATTGTAACTTTAATACATTATTAATTTACTATTTTTGGGTAATCTTAGAAAAGAGGATTTTTGAATATCAAACAAAAATTGTACGACGCCAAATTTAGTAAACAAGTAAAATAACGTTCCGATACGAAAATGGTGAATGGTAAGGTACTTTTATATCCGCCATAATTTTGTGATACAAACATCAATTTCGGCCAAAATTATAATCGAATTAAAGGTCAAATTTCGAAATGTATTCTTAAGAATTATTATATTTTTTGAAATAAGAAAGTCAGGTACATAATCGTTGTTCCCTGTATATGTTACAAAGTTACGAATTTATATACTTCAATGCTTTATTTATATTTATATTTTTATTATTAATATTATGCTATGAATTAATGTCTATATATATATGTACTATATGCGATATGTGCGCAGTAAGATTATCAATCACACCTCGATAACATAGCTTTCGATATGCTGTAGTAATTCCTCTTTTTGGGCCCAAAATCTATGAATTTTATCATAACCATCATTTTCACTTAGTTCTTTCATACATTTATCAATAACCGAATCCCATTCCCTTTCATTATAACCACAATCCTTCATTATACTTTTTAAATTTTTAGCACCCCATGTATAGATAAATTTATAATTTTCGCCCAATACCCCTCCCCATTTGCCTATTGGAACGTTCCTTTCCGTATGATATATTACCGGGAATTGTTTTGTGTCGGCAATGAATCGTGGAATTTTTGGGGTTATTACCGTTTCAATTTTCTTTTTCGTTCGTAATTCTTCCACGACTAAAAGAAAAAAGAAAAGAAAGAAAAAAGGTTACACATATTCATTATATGTCCACAAAGATTCGCACAAAAAAAAATAAAACAAATGACTTACAAGTTAACCTTGCTTTTCTCGTGAAATTTCCTTCGTTCCAAAATAAGATATCCTTCTCCATGAATTCAATGTGACCACCAACCTTGCATACCCTACAGATTTCTTTTATGGCAATTTCCCAATCCTTTGTAGTGAATGCAAACATCATGAATCTGCAAATTACGTAATCAAATGTATTGTCTGCATGTGGCAAACCAGTAAGTATGTTTTCTTGTAGAAATTCAACATTATTCGGTTTCACACGAATTGGAAATGTAGGCGCAATATCAATTCCTACGAATCTAGATTTTGGATATTCGGTCGCCATCTCTAATGTCCACATCGCAGGTCCACATCTACATAAGTAAATCCGTTAGTAAGTGAGCGATTAAAAAAGAACAAAATATTATTATTGTTATTTTTATTTATATTTTTATGGAGAAAAAAACTCACCCTATGTCAAGCACCTGCGTATTATTAGAATTCAATATATCTTTTATAGGAGCAGAAAAGTTATCATTCCATACGTAACGATAAAGATTATAATTTTCTTGTATTCTATCGCTTTCATTATCATCGATGGGATACATGTAATTTACATTAGATACGTTCAAAAATTTGCGATCTCCCTTATAACAATAGATACTTTGAATTTCGCGTTGTTGTACCGCAGTAATATTCTTTCTATGATCAAATTTTGAAAGTTTTTTTCCCATGACGAATTCCCAAGGAAAAAAAAAAAAGGTATTAAAATATTAAATCAACAACGAAAACGTCGCCTTTTATATATCTTGGATTATTTCACAACATGATGTTATAGAAATTGCGCATGAAACAATTGATTGGACTAGATCGTTACACGAGAAAGGGATTTTGCGTTGATAATAGGTACTTTCAAACTCAGGTTCAAATTTGTACTTCATTAATCAGGAATATAAAAAAAAAAAAATGAATGAAACCAAAAATGGTTGACATTCGCAAAATAAAATTATAAAATTTTATTCATTTGTTAATTTAAGATTATTAAATGCAAAACAAATAACAATGAAAAATCTAAACCTTTTTTTTTTTTATACCACATATTGCCGTCCACACATTTTAACTTTCATCCGTTCCATCATGACAGATTTTTCCGCAACGTCTTAACCGGTCCCAACCTCTAATTCAGTTTCGTATGACGTAATTATATCATATGTATTTGCTGTAAAAATATTAGTATAAATTCGGCAATAAGAAAGAACTAAAAAAAAAAATATAAATTATATACACATATATAAAGAGATATATCGATATATAAAATATAAATAATTCTTTACAATAGAAAGGGAGAAATGAATAAAAAATTAGATTTCCATTTTTGATCAAGTTTGAATCTCGAGTTTTAGTTAGGTTATGGTCGGTTTATCACCTTTTGTGATAATTAGAAATTTTCCATTATCGATATTAATACAAATAATATAAGCAATGGAAATAGTGATATAGTCGATTTTATTAAAATTGAAGTTTTATCAGAATTATCAGATTGCTAATTGTATGAAAAAAGTATTGTAAAATTTTCTAATCCATTAGAAGTTTTAATATAAAGTTCCCTACATTTATATAATCATTAAAAACTCTTTTATCCTTTGAAGATTTCAGTTGATTAAAAACATTAACGAATTATCATAATTGGAATAATAAAAAATATAATAATTATTAATTGCCGCTTCGGCAGATGATTTTATGTTTACTACTACATATTTCCATTTCCGTTTCTATCCTAAACTGCTGATAATTAATTTTAAAATAAAACAAATTGTGACAAAAAAAGTCGCTAATATGTTTAGATGTAATTATACAAAAACATACAATAAATACTAAGATCTAAAATTTCTTTTTTTTATCTGGAAAAAAGAATTTTGACTCTTTTTTTTTTTTATTTAGGAAATTATTAGAAAACTATATATACGAAAATTTTACGTGATATTTGCTTTGAAATCCTCTAATAATAATAAGGCTCAAATGAGGTATTTTTATGCGACAATTAAAGTTACATCGAATTTCAATTTTACGAAAAATTATACGTTTCCTCGGCATAAAAACATATGGAAGCAGTAATACTTGAGCTAAATACCAAACCAATCATAGTCGCACTTCCTATTAATGAGTGTTTGAAACAATTTCCAAAATATCGTTAAAATTTTCCCAAGGATCACCACGGGGACAACCTTTTTTTATTATAGTGGTTGTAATTAAAGTTAGGTTTCAAAAATTTAAATGAATGTCGAAATATAGAAATAACTTATTTTTATATTTTTATGTTAGTTACAAATTAATATTCGAATATAATTAGAATTTATCCTTCGATGTTCAACAACCACGGGGTAGAGATCGACGTTAATTACTGACAAGTGTATTACTTTAAGTCACAATAGTAACGTTAATTCGATTGTAGTTATTCACATAATGAATAGATTTTTTTATATTTGTTACGATTCTTTTACTTATATTGTAACTTTAATACATTATTAATTTACTATTTTTGGGTAATCTTAGAAAAGAGGATTTTTGAATATCAAACAAAAATTGTACGACGCCAAATTTAGTAAACAAGTAAAATAACGTTCCGATACGAAAATGGTGAATGGTAAGGTACTTTTATATCCGCCATAATTTTGTGATACAAACATCAATTTCGGCCAAAATTATAATCGAATTAAAGGTCAAATTTCGAAATGTATTCTTAAGAATTATTATATTTTTTGAAATAAGAAAGTCAGGTACATAATCGTTGTTCCCTGTATATGTTACAAAGTTACGAATTTATATACTTCAATGCTTTATTTATATTTATATTTTTATTATTAATATTATGCTATGAATTAATGTCTATATATATATGTACTATATGCGATATGTGCGCAGTAAGATTATCAATCACACCTCGATAACATAGCTTTCGATATGCTGTAGTAATTCCTCTTTTTGGGCCCAAAATCTATGAATTTTATCATAACCATCATTTTCACTTAGTTCTTTCATACATTTATCAATAACCGAATCCCATTCCCTTTCATTATAACCACAATCCTTCATTATACTTTTTAAATTTTTAGCACCCCATGTATAGATAAATTTATAATTTTCGCCCAATACCCCTCCCCATTTGCCTATTGGAACGTTCCTTTCCGTATGATATATTACCGGGAATTGTTTTGTGTCGGCAATGAATCGTGGAATTTTTGGGGTTATTACCGTTTCAATTTTCTTTTTCGTTCGTAATTCTTCCACGACTAAAAGAAAAAAGAAAAGAAAGAAAAAAGGTTACACATATTCATTATATGTCCACAAAGATTCGCACAAAAAAAAATAAAACAAATGACTTACAAGTTAACCTTGCTTTTCTCGTGAAATTTCCTTCGTTCCAAAATAAGATATCCTTCTCCATGAATTCAATGTGACCACCAACCTTGCATACCCTACAGATTTCTTTTATGGCAATTTCCCAATCCTTTGTAGTGAATGCAAACATCATGAATCTGCAAATTACGTAATCAAATGTATTGTCTGCATGTGGCAAACCAGTAAGTATGTTTTCTTGTAGAAATTCAACATTATTCGGTTTCACACGAATTGGAAATGTAGGCGCAATATCAATTCCTACGAATCTAGATTTTGGATATTCGGTCGCCATCTCTAATGTCCACATCGCAGGTCCACATCTACATAAGTAAATCCGTTAGTAAGTGAGCGATTAAAAAAGAACAAAATATTATTATTGTTATTTTTATTTATATTTTTATGGAGAAAAAAACTCACCCTATGTCAAGCACCTGCGTATTATTAGAATTCAATATATCTTTTATAGGAGCAGAAAAGTTATCATTCCATACGTAACGATAAAGATTATAATTTTCTTGTATTCTATCGCTTTCATTATCATCGATGGGATACATGTAATTTACATTAGATACGTTCAAAAATTTGCGATCTCCCTTATAACAATAGATACTTTGAATTTCGCGTTGTTGTACCGCAGTAATATTCTTTCTATGATCAAATTTTGAAAGTTTTTTTCCCATGACGAATTCCCAAGGAAAAAAAAAAAAGGTATTAAAATATTAAATCAACAACGAAAACGTCGCCTTTTATATATCTTGGATTATTTCACAACATGATGTTATAGAAATTGCGCATGAAACAATTGATTGGACTAGATCGTTACACGAGAAAGGGATTTTGCGTTGATAATAGGTACTTTCAAACTCAGGTTCAAATTTGTACTTCATTAATCAGGAATATAAAAAAAAAAAAATGAATGAAACCAAAAATGGTTGACATTCGCAAAATAAAATTATAAAATTTTATTCATTTGTTAATTTAAGATTATTAAATGCAAAACAAATAACAATGAAAAATCTAAACCTTTTTTTTTTTTATACCACATATTGCCGTCCACACATTTTAACTTTCATCCGTTCCATCATGACAGATTTTTCCGCAACGGATTAACAAATTATATTGAGTAATGAAACTATTTATTATCTTTATTATCGGATGATATTGTTTTGGTAAGCACATCTCATGCCTTTTAATAATTAATTATTAAATCCCAAGACTTTATAAAAAATATACGACATTTTCTTTAGATTCCTGTAAGTTCTTTCTTGCATCAGCCAATTAGTTTAATTTTTTTTTTTTATTTTATTTTTTATTTTTGTTAAATTTTTTCATTTTTTCATTTTAATTATATTAAATCCTTTTGTAATATTCAATATCTACTTGATTGACGACTATTGTTCATTGAATTATTCATTTCCGGAACGTTCATCTAACACCATCATAACAATCGTTCCTTGTTCATAAATAATCGTGTCACCCATATCGAAATAAAGTAATAATCAAACAACCAATGATAATGGCAGTATAATAAAAACACAAAGGAGATTCTTAGTTGCATAAACCTAAACATTTACAGTAAATAAATGCTGGTACAATATGATTTTCAATCGAAGACAAAGTAGAACGTCGATATGCTGCACATCTTCGTGTAACAAGATAATTCTTTCTCGAAAGAAATTTGTCTACGATATTTTCTTTTTTCATTTAATTCGATTATTCTTATTTTTATTTTTTTTTCCTCCAAATTATATTAAATCTTATTAATCAAACTTTCGAAACATCCGAATCTACAGAAGCCGCGAAAATCTTTTGCAAACTTCGAAAATATGGAGATTAGGTAATCTTAATTTAATTCTCGGCGTTTCAAAACAATAGAATTCATGATTAAATAGTTTTATTTGAGGTTTTCTAATACAAAGTTAAATGAGATTCTCAAATTGAATCAAGATAATTAAATAACGTAATTAAGTCCAAAAATACAAGTCCAAATCTAAGAATGTGTAAAGCATTTGTAAATATAATATAATTTTTGAACGAACCATCTAAATTACTACCTCGAATTTTTATTAGAAAAATACGATCGTCATTTTTTTTGAATAGTCACATGATTTTACATCACGTTAGTGGAAACAATCTTATATCGTACAGTAGGCCAAAAAAGTATTCGTGATTTAAACAAAATTTTATATTAAAAAATATACAATTTCAAAATTAGAAAAAGTGTAAAAATTGTATTAATATTATAAAATTTATCATACAATAAAACAAAAAAAAAAAAAGAAATTTACAATATAAAATATGATACAATTATCTTAATAATTAGAAAATATTTTGTAAATTTCACCTTTATTTAAATTTTTTATTATTTTTAATAGATTAACTTATTATTTAGTATAATCATTAATAATTTTAATACATCTAAAAATTATTATTTTTTATATATTTTAATATAAAATCTAATTAAATTACAAAACTTTCTTAACCTACTATATTAAATCTTGTCCAAAATATTTAAAATTTAAAATACTTTATAGAATTTACTAGATAATTTGCATCTTTCTACTATATATAATGCAAATTATCTATAAATAAAATAAAATCATTCAAATTCAAAATCCTAAATCTTTTATTCTACGTAATATCAATTTGTAATATTTATAGTAATTATAGTATAAATAATGAAAAATAAAAACTTTCAAACCTTTAGTTGATTAGAAAAATTTTGAGTGTTAGGCATTTGAAAATTGATAATTTTCTTATAAATATTTAAATTCAAACGTGTGATTTATTATGTGATATTGATTTTGTCCAATAAAATAAATGTATTCATATAAAAATTTGTAACATGATAATGTATTTTTTTATTTTTTTTTTATTTTAAAATTATATTTTAAACATTTTTAAATATACTTTAATCTAATAAAAAAGTTGTATTGAAAAATATAAACAAAAAATACAAACCAAAATAAAATAGGAAATTTTATCATAAGATTTAAATAAGTTTATAAATTGTTATAATCCATTTATAAAAAATGATAAATTATATAGTTATATATCAACAATTTTAATTCATAAGATTATTTTTAATTGGATAAAGATTACATAATATGTTTATGATTTGCAAACAAAAATTTAACTATTTATCTTTTAAATAATATGTATTTAAAGATAGGGTAGCAATTAATTTCAAATTTATAATATGTTGTAACATAGGCTAAACTTAGTTGCAACATATATAGATTAAAACTAATTGTAAAATACGTTGCAACATTAAAAGCTGTAATGTATTAATTACAGTTCTCATTTTTATATATATTATAACAATAAATAACATAATTGTATTATATACTTAGAATTAATTAAATTCAAAAATTTATATTTTAAGGATCAAATATTTATAAATTTTTAATAATAAATAAAGATTTATTTAATTGACAAATTTATTCAATATTATTTCAAAATTCTTTGAGTTAATTTATTTTCAATTCTATTAAAGATAATAACTATAAAATTGTTTATTTTTATTACTTTTAATACCAATAAAAGACTATTTTTAAATTCTTATTTATTCTTTTTCCATATTAATAAAATTTAGATAAATTAAATATTACATTATTATCAATATTTTCTAACGTAAATTATATTAATAAAAGACTATTTCTAAATTCTTTTCAATATTTTCACTTTTTTTATATAAAAATATAAAAATATTTTGAGTAGAATTATATCTATTTTATATTAAAAATTGAGTTGAATTTATTTTTATATTTAAATTTGTAAACTAATTCAATATAAGTTGATATTTTTATTTATAATTTATAAATTATTATGTTATAAACACTTATTATAAATAAAGAATTATAAATTAACAAATTTATTTCTTTATTATTACAATATTATAATTAAAGATAATATTACAATGATTTAAAAAGACTGCAATTAGTTATAACTTAGATTACAGTCTTTTAAATTGCAATTAGTTGCAAAACTTTATATTATAATTTTATAATTAAGATTTTACAATTAGTTACAAGTTAGGTTACAATCTAAAAATTGTAATTTAATAGTTATAAATCCAATTTTAGTTATAGCAAAAAAATCAAAAGTAAAAACTAATTAATGTTTTAAAATAAAAAAATAGAAAAATATAAATTATTTAATTTTAAAATATTTAATTTAATAACTGTATCTGAAAAAATTTATTTAATAAGAACTAAAATAGCAGGAATTGAAATATATTCTTAAACTAATTATAATAAAATAAGAATAACTTGCTTATTATTAAATTAAAAGATTAACATATTTAATATATAGATAATATAGGTAACTTATAAATTTATTATCATCTTATATTAAGATTAATAGTTCATATTTTTATAAATATATCATTTTATTATTAAAATTACTATAGCTAGAATTATTATTTCAATATCTTTTAAAAATATAATATTATATTTTTTATAAATAAATCTTATACTGTATAGGTCAATTAAAAGTAAACTTTTGAAATAGAATTTTAATTATTCCTTTATTTTTCTTATTTTTTTTTAAAAAAATTACATTTAATAATTATATAAAAATAATAAAATTATAAAATTATAAAATTAATAAAATTTAAAAAAATATAAGTTATTATTAATTCTGATTTGTTTAGCTGATTTTAGGCTAATTTAGGTTGATTTAAAGTTTGAATAAGTCAGGTTGAGTAAGTTTTTATCAAATTCAACTCAATTTGAAAAAATCAAGTTGAGTCGAATCAGGTCAAAAAATTTTTAAACCTCAACTTGACTTGACTTGAGTTATTTGTTCTGATTGAATAATAAATCATTGTTTTTAAAAAATGATAAATAAAATTGTTCCGATAGAACAATAATACATTATTCTAAAGGAATAATAAAAAGAATCATTCTGATAGAATGATAATATATCATTCTAAAGGAATAATGAAAGAATCATTTTAATAAAATGATAAAACATCATTCTAAAGGAATGAGAAATAAAATCGTTCTGATAGAATAATAATCATTCTAAAAGAACGATAAAGAATCATTCTGATAGAATTATAGTATATTATTTATTCTAAAGAAATAATAAAAAAATCATTCTGAATGAACGATAATATATTATTCTAAAGAAATAATAGAAAGAATCGTTCTAATAGAATGATTAAACATTGTTCTAGAGGAATGATAAAAGAATCATTCTGATAGAATGATAATGCATCATTCTAAAGGAATGATAGAGAAAATCATTCTGATAGAAAGATAATAAATCATTTTAAAGGAATGATAGAAAAATTATTCTAATAGAACAATAATGCATCGTTCTAAAGAAATGATAGAAGAATCGTTCCAATAGAATGATAAATGAATGATCATTCTTTTTGAATGATAATTAAATATTTCTTAAAAACAATAATAAATCATTCTTTTTGAAATAATAATCAAATCGTTCCTTAAAGAATGATAATAAATCGTTCTTTTTAGAATAATAATTGAATCATTCCTTAAAATGATAATAAATCATTCTTTCAGAATGATAATTAAATGTTCCTTTAGAACAATACTTTTTATTGTTCTATTAGAATGATTCTTTCTATTGTTCCTTTAGAATGATTTATTATTGTTCTATCAGAATGATTCTTCTATCATTTCTTTAGAACAATGCATTATCATTCTAT